TATACAAAAAGAGTTTGGTTCAGCGTTTCGTTTCTTTTCATCTTCCAACTCTTTTTCGACGTTTTTTAGTTCATCTCTAGTATGCTGCAGTTCTTCTTGGATTGTGGTTAGGTGCTCTGTAGGGAAACACTTCTGCTTTTCGATTTTCTCGATACTTGTGATATCAAGCTTTAAAGATGAGAATTCTGTCTTGATCTTTTGTACCGACGTTTGTAACTCAGCGTCGCTCATCGTTCCCGTTTTATTATGTGCCAATTCATTACGAATTTCACGGATTTCGTCAACGCTTTTACTGACAACAGTGGTTAATTTCGGCCCCACACTATCTGAGTAAAGTATGGCATAAAATAAACAAGTACAATCCCAATTCATTCTGTCTCCACTGGTCATTAACCCAAGAAGCCGTCTGTTTCTTGTCTGATTCCTCGGTGACTCCTTGTTATAAAATCTGTTATAACTGGTAGGCGTGTCATCCCACTGACCAGGCGTAGTTGTGTATAAAGCATCCCATTCTTGCTTGAAAATCGTTCGTAAACCTTCAGGTACGATGTTGAAGACGATATTACACAATCTGAAGAAGTTAAGCTGATCGGCTGAGTATTCCATTCTCGTAAAAAAAGACAGCGGAAAAGAAATTGAGGTAATCTTACTTCAGTGTCTTGATCCGTGTCAACACACGTGTTGGATTTGATGAAACAGTTTCTCTGTTCTTTATCTGTTTCGTTAATCTGACCTGAATTGCAAACATATAATATGAAAATAGAATAACACAGCAAATTAACGAGAACCACTTCGTGGAACACACTGTGTCCAGGTTACGTTAAGTGTATAGAATTTTGTCGTGGAATATATTTTTATATACATATTTATTTATCAGCACCATTTAATAGATTCTGCGTAAAATCTTCCTTTCACATCTACAGTAGCCTGCTTACAGGCGTTCTCCTTCTCGGCCCCTCAGCAGGAACGCCCGTGTAAGCAGGCTACATCTACAGAAGAATCATACACAGGTAACCATCATTACACGCTCAAACTTTGTCTCGTTTTATTGTTAAGGCGCTACCTTTCAAGATGCCGCAGGGAACCGGGAAGGAGACTATTAATTTACCAAAGATTTTTTCCGTTTTTGTGAGTTTTACTTGCTGTACATTAGATATCAATCTTGCTATCTGGAATAGCATAATAGTCTTTGGTCATGACGGAGGTGGATGGAAGTGAACGATTACAGAGAGTTATCATATGCGCCTCACACTTGACCCTATAACATAGAGTAGAGGACACATCATCTCTCACCACGTCAGTCGCGTAGCGTCCTTTACGTATATACGCACGTGCGTACTAAGGAAATGTTAAAATTTCCACAAAAATTACTTAAAAATTCACATAAAATTGAACCCTTTTACTGCTTTCGATGTCTCTCAAAATGCTGGAAATCGCATTTCTAAGAGTTTACAATTTTTTAGAGGAGGTTCAAACTACCTTAATACTCATGCATGCCTTTGGTGGTCGTTAGACCCCCAGATCCAAAATATGTATCCCTGACATGTGAGTACTGGCCAAATAAGTCCACGCTACACGCCTGCAGGTACTATGACTATGACATTACCCGTTAGGTAGTCGAAGAATTGTTTGATTATTACAGTTATTGTTTTGCTTATTTGCTTGATTGGTTTTTGTTTTATATGGAGTATTAGTAACAGTTCCTCAGGCGAGATGCATTAATTAATTAAAGTGGCTTCGATCGGGAACCCTAAGAAGTCGAAAATGACATGATGTTTAAACATTCAAAAGGTACTCGAGGTTCTGAAACACTTACACTATAGTTATTTGTGTTTAATGAGTACTTTCACCTTTTCATCTCGCAAGGCGTCCCTTTTGTCTGGTGTTTTAATGAATTTCCCGATCGGTTTAAAATTTTGTTTGATTAATCTGAAGAATTAAATATAAACTGCTTTCTTAGCCAAACATGGGTCATCAGATTTACATGACAATTTTAATTTGATTTTAATATTTTTTTTAACTTAAAAGTTCTATACCGGTTTGTTGTTTACTCTAGCAGGGACGGCGGAGCCGGGGAGCTTGAGCTCCTCCAATAATTTTCTGATATTGCTTCTTTAATTCTTGAGAATAGAAAATAAAGAACTTAGAATTGACACTGAGACAAGAGCTCGCATTCTTGGTTGCCAAGCACAAATGAAGACTTTTCATTATTTTTTTGGTCTCCATATAAGTCATCGTTTGTTCACGCAAAGAAATCTTTAGCTACAACATGGCAGAAATCGGCTGGCCTAACTGTTGACACTTTGCAAAGTTTACGAAATGACGAATCATTCAATGCATTTTACGAGCTCGTGTTTACACTTATAAACCTATAAGTTTTTGAACTCAGTAGCGTGAACACGATCGGATACCGATTTAAACGCTAAAAAAGGGGATTGTTAGTTGTAGTTATAACAATTATACCGCTCTAAACTGAAGAGTTGCAAATTTTACAGGCCAAAAAGTCACTGTAGATTCATTAGATTGTCTGGTCTTCATGTCGGTAATAATGGTCTTATAGTTTCAGTATGGGTTTTGCTGTCTCGATGCCGGTCGGGATTCTTATGAATAGGTTTCTTTTATCAGCTCCTAACTTATACTTTGTGTTTTATTTCTTTATATTGTAGAACGACAAACTAGTGCCTAGATCATACAATGATTTTAGGTGTAACCAGCTAAGTAAATGACATTCAAAGGTGGATATTAAAATCCTTTTTTCAGGGTCTTGGGGACTGAAACATACTAATACCAGAGGTTTAGCTAGTATTTATCCACTTCATGTTGTTTCTGTAACCTTCTGCGCTTTCTGTTCGCTTGTATTTTACTTTTATCTAGTTTTAGTTCTTATTCTTACGTTATTCACCATGTTGGTGCCTTGAGCCAACAAAATGTCGTCACGAAGGTCATGTGACCAGAGTTTGGCTGCGCGGCGGAGAGGACCAAATTTGAAGTGAAAATTCCGATCTTTGGATCATCGTAACTCAGCGAGTTTTTTTCAGAATTCTCGCAAATTTGAAATTAAGAGTTTTTGAATAATACTCTTTTGACTGACAAAAAATTGTTTTCATTTCATATGCTCTTTTAAAGAGCTTGAAAATCTCTGCGAGCCAAACCTCAAAACCTCGACTCAAGAAAACGACGTGCCTCCTCACGCTATGAAGTAGGTACTGCTGAACCGCATCATCCTAACACAGCTCGAGAATTCTATGGTCGTATATTCTACGAAGCGTTTGATACTATTATATCTGCCATGAAGAAGCGTTTCAACAAGCCAGCCTTTGTTTTTACCAGAATTTAGAAAGTTTGCTTGTTAAGCCATCAAAAGGAGAAGATCTTGCAAAAGAACTATAGATGCGTTTTATAGATTACAAATGCTGAAAAACGAAGCATTTATTTTTTTTAACAACAATCATATGGAACTTAAGGGGGACAAATAGTCCGTGATCACTCAAGCTTGACCTGACAGTCCGTATGAAGTGCCAAATTTGACGAAAAAAGGCCAGATTTCAAGGCTTTTTGAAGAAATGCGGCGACATTAAAAACAATCCTAAAAACCTAGCACCGGATTTAAGAAATAAAATCTATATGCGACCTTTCTGGGTATTTTTCATGAGAAAATTCGAAAATCCAATCACGTATTTTTGCCCTTGAAGAGTTGAAGTTGAGCATTAAAATAGTATGGCGATCCATGTTTTCACCACAGTTCGCTCCAAAAAACTGGGCCTCGCGCATAACTTATTTTGTTAATAAAAAACCTAGCACCGGATTTAAGAAATAAAATGTATGTGTGACATTGCTGTGTATTTTTCGTGAGAAAATTTAAAAATCAAATCACGTATTTTCGCCTTTGAAGAGTTGGCGTTGCTTCGCATCCGTTTGCGTTTCGGGATTCCTGTCCCGACGATGAACGGATGCAAAGGAGACTACTTCTGTAGGCACAAGCAACAAAAATCAAACTTGAATTTTTCAAATTATTGCTTTCTTATTATATGTTGAAAATGTACTCAAAACTATGCAGTTTTGTGTTAATTCAATATTTGAAAAATTTATATCAGTCAGTGAACGTAACTGTGATATTATATGTACATGTACTTTCCTTTCTAGAGGTGACTTTGCTATTAATAGTATTTAATG